CATGGCTGATTAGGGAATCCTGGGAGTTGAAGTCCACACATCTTAAAGTTGCCAAGGTCAAGAAACACTGTTCTAAAGATTGAAAAGGAGTTCAGTATCACTATCTGCAATTGAAAAAAATGCTTGACCCACTTTTAGGCGTTTAGGAGAACTTCGTTAGGTACGAAAATGTACATTGTAGGGGGCTGCACGGACAGTTATGCGTACCCCTAAGATGGCACATGTAACACCTCTGTTCCGTGAGCTGGGCTGCCAGTTTGCTTCTGGGTGCAATTCAAGGTGTTGTTTTTGACCTTTAAAGCCCTACATGGCATGGGACCAGGTTATCTGAGGGACCGCCTCTTCCTGATTATATCTACCCGGCCCATCAGGTCAAGCAGGAGGGACATGTTTCAGGTCCCATCGGCTAAGGAGCTCCATCGGACAGGACCCAGATGGTGTACCTTTTCTGCTGTGGCGCCTCCATCCTTTGGACATTGTTCCCCCCGAGGTGAGGTTGGTCCCATCCCTGCTTCCCTTTTGGAAAGCCCTTAAAACATGGTTTTCCCATCAACCTTGGGGATCCCATGGTGAGCCTGCAAGGTGGCTTATTGTGTTTAGGTGGCTATTATTCTCCCGCAATCTTGGTTTTTATTTATGTTTAATTGTTTTAATGGTTGTTATATTGTTTTTAACTATTGCTGGTTGTACGCTGCTTAGAGTCACACTTAGTGAGATGGGTGGCCATATAAATTTGCTAAATAAATAAATAAATAAATACATAAATAAATGTTTTAATTTAGCAAGTGAGTTAAGGGAACTGTGACTAATGACCATAAGTCAAAATCTCCTGCAGAGAACGAATACTTAAAAAAAAAAAAGATATATCCCACATCTGTTGCACCATGATAAGGATTAGACCATTCTTAGTATCCAAATTCTGATGCAAATAAATATCAGAAGCACCTTCTCCTTAGCAGCTTGCTTCGTCTTCTTGTCCATCCAGTCAAGACTGTTTAGTGACTCTTCAAAGGCTGTGCGGATTTCAGCAATCATGTTCTCAGCCTGAAGGTAAGGACAGAGGGGGAACAACAGGTTCATTCAATCAAAGAGATCATCTGGTCCAATTCACAGCGGCTCAAAGCCCCTGATGCTGTATCTTCCCTATTCCAGCCTCAGCTCAAAACTCTCGAGTGAAAGACAGCATCTCTATTCCACTGCCCAACAGCTGTTCAACTGTATTTCTCATTCACTGGCTATTGTTCCTGTAGTGAAAGGCAAGAAAATATCCCAAGAGGTCTGGATATGAAGGAGTTAATAAATCAAAACCAGACCTATCAATCCAGATAGTGGGCAGAGACCCGCGAAGCTTGGGAAATTCCGCTGACTGTTCATCTTACTGGCTTTGCCAATCCTGCACTGAATCCTTTCAAAACTTCTGTGTTTTATAGTCTTGGCAACTTCCTAACTGAATCCCATCTGTACTTTCAACTACACTATTGCGCTTCCATCCCCACCACTTTTAAAAACATTGAGCATCAGAAGGAGCAAAAACGTATAGTACCGCACATAAGCCATGAATCGATATTAAGCCATTAATAGATATACAGACTGGTTCACTTAATACAGCAAAATAAAACATAATCAAATAAGCCCAGGTTATAACAAAACAATAGTAGTAGTAGTAATAATAATAATAGTAATAATAATAATAATTATTATTATTATTATTTAAACTTGCATGCCACCTGATTCTCAATGACTCTCAACAATCAAACAATGAAATTACAATAAAATCAATAAAACATAAAATAGGTTCATATAACATGCTGGGCCCAAGCAAATATACAGTACAGCTTGCTGGGATGGCCTCATTCATACCACATGTTGAGACAATGATTAATTTCCAACAACATAAAAGTAAAGATCCCATCTGGGTTCAATTCCTATGATTACATGGGAATACTGACTTTGTAGCAATCAGCAAAGGATTTTCTAATGCCTTCCCTTATTCTGCATTATTTTTATTACTTTTCAGCCTAGCCTATAGCTTTGAGACTCCTTGAATACTAATAGTGCCAATCAGGTCCAGCCCTACTTATCTTTTGAGATCAACTATAGACTGCCAGTTGTGATGGGGTCTTGAACTCCAAACCATCCAACCCTGTTTCATCCTACTCTACCATATTGTGTGAACCTAGCTGCTGGTTACTGATGCAAAATGAATGTCTGATCCCCTACACATCAGTAGAATTCAGCCTGTATTTCACTGTCTTGTTGAGTAGACTAAATTGTTGGAAGACCAAATTCTTTGCCCACAGAAAGATACAAAGAAGAGTTGTGGGTGAGTTCAATATGATTCCATGGTATTGCTTGTATGCATATGTTCCCAGTCCCTCTAAGTAAGGAAATCAGCTACTGGAGAGCTTCAGAGTAAGGGGTGTCTTACCCCTTCCTTCTCTGATGTCAAAGCTGCCTCCCTCTTCCCAGCTGCTTTCCAACACTTAAACAGAGAGGCCAGCACAGACCCAGGGGAACTTCTCATCTGAGGATTTGTGATGGGGCTACCTATAGAAGGCAAGTAGCCCAGGAATGGGATCCCACCAACCTGGCTGAAGATACTCACAATCTCCTTGCTGTGTCGGTCGAAAGTGGCTTTTACAAACAGTGCCCCAAGGGCAAAACCCAATGTGTCATCCGTGTTAGAAATGCAGGTTTGCCAGCGAGGTGTGCAGGACTCCAGAGAAAGAAAAAGAGAGAGAGTGAGGCCCAAAGAAAAGCAGAGCAATGGAGTTCCTAGAGGACAAATGGGTTAAGGATCCCTGCTCTCTGAAGAGACTAGATAGTGGGGGATCCTCACCCAATGAATATTCCTCAAAACATGCAGGACTCAGGTCGGGTGGGATTTCAGGTACCAAGATCTCCACTGGTCTACAAACTGGAGGCTGCGTCTGGTCCTGCCCAGAAGAAGACACCCCCAATTGTCTGTTTCATTCCCCTAAAGCATCTGCTCACCTTCTTGGTACCATACAAAGTCTCCAACAGCTTCTCCTGGGCCGTTTCAAACCGCTGATCGAGGCTGGAGGCTGTTTTCTGAATCAGATTCCAAATCATATAATTGTTCAAGACACTACAAAAGAAGGAACCAGTTATGTAATCACTCTGGCCTCCCCCAACTGCTTATTTAGAGGGTGTAAAGGTGTATAAGGATAGGCTTATCTCCAGACCTATATTTGATCATGGTACCTGGTATCCATCTGCTTCAAACCTACTCATGTTCCATACCACACAAACAGCTGGTGGTATCTTAAGGCTCCAGTTTTTAAATAACTTAAAGCCTGGGCAATACATCAGCAACATTGTTTACCTGCCCAGAAGTTAAAAAGTGCAGGAAGAGAAGAAAACTCATTTGCTTCCTCTTTTCTTGCTGCTGACTTCAAAACTGAAAAATTAATTGGTTAGAAGAGATGCTAAGCCTCAGAAACTGTATCTGCTTCTTGTGTGTCCCATCACACCCCTCCAAGCAAACTGAGAACGTGGAAGTCACCCTGCTAGATCAGGCCTAGGCCCATCTAGCCAGCATTTTGTCTCATGGTGGCCCACCCAATGCATCTAGGAAGTTCATGAATAGGAGATCAAAGCTGCTCGCCTCTCCCATTGTTGCTCCTGTGCATCTTGTATGTAGAGATGGACTCCCATCTACAAGGAGCACCCAGTCACTGATGCACTGAAAACATTCAGCACAGAGCAGTGGAGTTGAATTGTATTAATAATGTTCAGTGAAGGGGTGATCCAACTATTACTTAAATGAAATAGCTCTCAGTGGCCCTCCAGATGCTCAGCTTCCGCCATCGCTGGCTATACTAACTGGTGCAATGGAGAACTGCAATTCAGTAACATCTAGACAGCCCCACGTTCCCCATCTTTGGGCCACACATCCAAGAACACTTCCCTTTCAACGTCCAAAGACAGAGTCCATCCAGAACTGCAGGAAGCCTGGAATGTGTACTGTCCTGGCTATAACTGGATAAATGTAATGTCTCTCTGGTACCTTTTGTCAGTGTTATTGATGAGTTGTGACACCTGCTCCAAATATTCCTTCCCATAGACCACCACTGGCTCCGCATCTGTTAGTTCTAGAGGTGCAAGGAAGTAGGAGATGAAGTCCAGCCAGTCAATAGCAGGGGCGAGAACCTGGAGGAGGCACAAAGAGACTCAAAACTTAATTTATTTTTTCTCTCTCTCTGTGCTTTGCATGTACAAGAAAAGGGGAGGTCTGATGACAGATTGGTAGCAACGCTCTATCACAGTGTTCCTCAACCCTAGCAACTTTAAGATGTGTGGACTTCAATTCCCAGAATGCCTCTGCCAGCATGCTGGCTGAGGAATTCTGGGAATTGAAGTCCACACATCTTAAAGTTGCTAGGGTTGAGAAACACAGCTCTGTAATCTAGAATTCCCCCCAACTAAAGGCACAAGGGGTTATTCAGAAACAGCTGGAGGTTAAATTGGGCGAATCATCTGAAGAACTTTTGGTATTTTTTTTTTAAATGTGGGATGAGTTCTGTGTCCCAGCAATACTAGCTGCAACTGGAAAAGGATGTGGTGGCAAATAGATCATCTTTCCCCAACACAGTGCCTTCCAGAGAATGGTTGGACTCCAATTCCTATTATTCCCCGACAGCATGGTTATCCTGTTCCACTTGAAGATTATTGGTGTGGGGGTGGAGGAGTCATTTCCAATCTAATTCATCCAGAGAGCACCAGTTCAAGTTGGAGAATACAGCCTATTCTGTAATTTCCACTTATGACTAAATGCAGCTTTTTGTGGCTTCAATATTTCATCATATTCTTCTCCCCCTGCCACTGGTTTCATTTCACATGCATTTTCCTAATTCTGGAGAAGAAAAAACTTCACTCGCTCTTTTGCAGCGTTATGATTCATTGTAAGAAAAGATATTCAGAGTGGTGGGGAATGAATTCTGGACATTGTCAGTTTTTCTAATGCTCTCGGCTCGACCACTGTCCCAGCTCCAAAGATAAGCCCTGGGGTGGGGTCCTTTAATCTTCTCCTCTCCTTTGTCCTAACAGCCCTGTTCTCCTGCAAAGATTCCTCCCTCCTTTTTCCAGGGAGTCCATCAGGCCCCACCCATAGAAGTCAAACTGCACTTCCCATTCTGAAGCATCACTGCTACTCCATAATAGGATTCTACTTGCCTCCCGGTTACCATGGTGGCAAGTTGCTTGGCAACCAATGGGTGAGGAAGAAAGCTGGTCCCTCCATATAACTGGCAGGTCCAAATCAGAGAAGCAAACAGGAGTGATGGAGGCTGGGAGACCAGACCAATAGGGACAGGAGAAATTATAGGAACAGTCTACTGGTAACAGCACAGCTGTGCCCACGAGATGCAAAAGAAAACAGTAAACGAAGAACTGGATAGGTGGATTGGCACCGCATCTTGTTTACTGAATGAACCAATTTTCTAAGCCCCCCAAATAAACTTAGATCCATACACTAAGCCAAAGAGTTGGATCTGCACATATTCTGCAATGAAAAACATAACCAAGAATAGAATGTTGTGTGAACGCAGCCGGTCTTTAAGTGACCTAGTTATGTGTATGGTGCAAACCCAACTTAGAATGGATGAACTGGATTTGAAAGATGCGTGGGGAGGGGGGAAGGAGGATAAGAGAGCCCTAATCTGCTGGAAAGTGATTTGATTTAGCTCAAACCATAAATCGTTACGGGTTAAAATGTATTAACTAGCGGAAATGGCTTTATAAGCTCATTTTTCAAGGTGTTGCTGAAAGGTCAAAAACGGAGTTTGTGTTCTCTGGAAAGGCAATTTTACAACGTTGGGCCCCCAATCTGACCACCGTTTGGGGGGGTGTCTGCTTGATCCACTGCCCCTATGTTTGATATCCCATGTGCCAAACGTTTCACAGGAAGGAGTCCAGTCATTAGGTCTTGGATAAGATGCCCAGCTTATTTTAAAGTGAGCCACCAAACTCATCGAATGTGTAGTTGGCCGCCCAGAGTCATGACTCTGAGATGGGTGGCCATATAAATCAAAATAATAAGTAAGTAAGTAAGTTGGAAGGGACCTCACAGGTATTTAATACATCCGCCTACTCAGTGCAGGATCCATCAAGTCAGTGTTTCTCAAGCTTGGCAACTTTAAGACATGTGGACTTCAACTCCCAGAATTCTCCAGCCAGCCAAGCTGGCTGGGGAATTCTGGGAGTTGAAGTCCACATGTCTTAAAGTTGCCAAGTTTGAGAAACACTGACTTAAGTCATCCCCAGCAAGGGGCCATCCAGCCCACACCCCTTAATAGCACTTCCTACTTCCCTCTGTCCAGAACTGGGAGGAAGACCCTGAACCTCACCAAGAGCAGAGCATCACTTGCAGAGAATCTAAAAGGTGTGAAATTTCTCTTTGGGGCTGCTTTGCACCCTGCCTGCACCACTGCTGAATGTGTGACCTTGACAAGGAGGTGGACGAACGCTCCAGGAGGGAACTGAATCCTCTTCTCTGGAGAGTGAATCTGCGCCTTCAGGCAGCCCAGCCACTGACTGGCATGCAGATCAGCAAAGCTTCTGGGCTGCTGACATTCAGAGTGACTGGCAGCATGAATGCAATCCTAATCAAGAGGTGCTGCCTGGGTTTATGCAACAAGAGCCCAGTGATTCCTAGTTAACGAGGTTGCAAGAAGCAGGAGAAGGGGGAAAGAGAAATGGGTGTGCATAGGATGCTACTGAAGGTGGGGGGGATACTGGAAAACAATGTTTTCAACCCAGAAAATCTGCCATTTCAGCTTGGAGCTCTTTCCCCAAAACTCCTCCACAGGACCAACAACTCATTTTCCCCATCTGGTATCCAGCTGAAGTCCACAGCCTCCATACTCAACTGAATCAAAACCTAAAATGTGTGCAATTTCAATGCATTTATTACATGCTTGGTTAGACTGACCTTCCCTTCCCTCCTTTTGTTTCCCCATTGCTTGAAGTTAAGTTGGAAGCTCCTTGGATTACATCTTTGCGTACATTAAATTCAAGGATGGCAATGTATAAAAATGTCATGGTCCTGTGCCGAGCCCAGTTAGGTGTTTCTTTGCAGATGTTGCTCGCGCATAGCCCAGAATGGATGGCTGGGGTTCCTCCAGAGCAGAAGCAGACAATGCCAGAAGCTGCTGAACTACAACTCCCAGCATCCCTAGGAAGCATGGCTAATAGTGAAGGATCCTGGGAGTGGTCCTTCAGCAACCTCTAGAGTCCTACGTGTTGCCTACTGCTTCTCTCTGGATGGGTTTGCCCAACACAGTTAATCTGTACTGATTTTTTTCACCAGGCTCAACAATACATTGAATCCTAAACTAACCAAAGGGCTGTGTTTCCTCTATAGGCAAAGCCACACACACACAAAATAACCAAGGTTAAAACTAATACTGACTAAGCACACCATGTAAGTCCAGGCTATGAATGTTGATGCTTTGGTGACCACCTTGGAGACAGTCTTCTTCAAACATTTTAAAGAAGACACCTTCTTCCCACCCAAAATTAAGAGGGGAAAGCTGATGTAAGGGATAGAGTGTGTCTTAATTCAGTGACCAGCTTAAGTATATTCTGTGAAGGCCACTTATATGTTACTTATCCTCACTTTAGAGAATTAGGGGCAATCTACCAAACATGGCTTATGTACGTCCCCCAGCACTTATCTCCATGTGTCCAGAGACCATCCACAGTAGGTGAGAATTGAATGTCCAGTCCTTTTTGTGTGTTTGGAGTTGGGGAAATGAAGGGGAACACAGATACATTTGGGGTGTTTGAAGGGTTACAGCTTATAGAACCATTTTTCCTTAAAGCCTAACACCTCTTTCCCCCACCCCACTCCCACAAATATAGGGCTGAAACCTTCAGCCCTCCAGTGATAATGCCTCAACAGCTTGGTCCCCTAGGGCCTTGATCTAGGATAAAAAGTAACAGTGAAGCCCCATGACTAAAAAACACGATTTCTCCCATCTTAGGGGATAGCCCTTAAGCAATCAAATTAAGTTTTCTCAGGTATATGTCCTCTGTTTCCAGTGAACCCCATTTCCTTCCTGTTCAGTTGCATTTAGGCCTAAGTTAACGGCTGACTCAACCCCCCTCCACCAGCTCCCCCCTCCTGCCCTTCTCCAGACAGGCCCCACCTGCAACTCAGCAATGGTCATCTTATGGTAAATCTTCTCATCATCCCGCCGTTCATCTTGGGGGACGGTGAGGTTAGCCAACTGAGTCTCCAGAAGCAGCACCTGCCACATCTGTTCTTCTGCTGAGCTTCTGGTTCCGCCCAACAGCATCGCCAGCTCCACCATGTACTCCAGATATGCAGTCAACACCTGCCATGGAGCACCAAGAACATGAGTAATTCCAGAACAATTACCCTGCCTTCTGCTCCTCTTGAGTGTGGGGTAAGAATGGGCTGGTGGGCAGTGGGCTACGTTCTGGAGTTTAGTGAGAAAGGCCAAGTGGGAAGAAAGAAGTTAAAAAATGATCAAAAGGAATATTGAAATTGGATGTGCAAACTCTTAAGATACATCCAGGAAGTATGTATGTATGTATGCATTTCCCACTGCTTTTAGTCAAGGTTAGGCAATCGTGGGGATGGAAATGAGACATGGATCTATTGTGGTCCAATTTCCAATAGAATCAGAGAAGCTATAGAATTTAGTTTAGGATTCCAGTTCTGACAGTGACAGTGAAGAACCAGAGTAAAAGCAAAGAACAAGAAAGAAAGAAAAAGAGAGTCTGCTTGTGAACATCCACTGCAGAAAGGATGATGGAGAGAACATCTGGGCCTTCTGCTTGTGAGCATCCAAACAGGAAGCCCAGATGTTCCCTCTCTACCATCCTCTCCGCAATGAATATGTGCTGCAATTCAAGAAGGCAATCCGTTTAGCTCAGCTGGCTGTATTGATTCGGTCTGGACTTCTCTCTGTTGCCAGCCTTATACTTCTCTTTTCCCAATAAAATGCTTTTTATATCTACAGATTTAGCTTCATCAGTTTTATAGGGGAATTTCTCACTGAAACCTTCTTCACCTGCAACACTGTGCTATTTTATAGCTATTTCTTGTGTTTCAAGACTGCTTTGTTAAATTATGTGACTCTGGATTTGGGGCAGGGAGACCCAAAATACTGTACAAAATATTGCCTTCTCTTTTCCCAGAGGTGGGCTGAAGGGAGAAGTCCTGGGTGGAAGGGGCTGCATACCCCAAATGGATAGACTGGATAGGTTTGCAAGGCAGTTCACAAATAACTGTCACAAAATTCAAGTGAATAAAAAGGCATGACACTTTAAAAAAATGGTAAAAACAGCAGAAGGAAGCATAAAATCAAGTGCCGTCAAATTCCATAGGATAAGAACAACTTCACCATGGCTGTCCAATTAAATTCCCAGGTTACAAAGACCTGGTGCCTAAAATAAACCATTTGATGCCAAGCAAGCTAGAACAGAGAGTATTTTATAAGCAGAAAAAAAAACCCTGCTTTTCAGATTCCATACCCACTTTACCTCTAAAAACATAGGCTCTAGCAAAAAGGCTTGTAAAGATGATCTCAACATTTTCACAGGTCTGAAGGATCCCTATAGATATCACCCTAGGAAAAATAATTATTTGGCGGGGGGGGTTGTGCCTTTGAGTCAGTCTTGACTCCTGGCAACTACATGGAAAAGTCCCTGCACTTTTCTTGGCAACAATTTCAGAAACAGTTTGCCCTTGCCTCCTTCTTCCTAGGGCTGAGAGACGGGGCTGGTGCAAGGTCACCCAGCTAGATTTGTGACTGAGGCAGGACTAGACCTCACAATTTCCTGGTTTCTAGCCTGGTCCTTCAACCACTATATCAAACTGGCTGTCTTTAAAAAAAGTTATTAAGCCTGAATCAAGCACTCTGCTCAGAAGCACACTCAAATCAATGGAGTTGTTTTAACACCTCCAAAGGTCATGTCATGTGGATAAATGAGATTAATTATCTCACGCAACTTTCTCCAACCTAGCACATTACTACAGGTAGTCCTCGACTTGCGACCACAATTGGGACCAAAGCTTCCATTGCTGATGCAGTCCATAAGTGAGTTGTGCCTGATTTTACGACCTCTTTTGCTGTGGTTGTTAGTTGAATCACACAGTTGTTAAGCGAATTTGGCTTCCCCTTGACTTTGCTTGTTGGAAGCTCCCTGGGAAGGTCGCAAATGGAGATCACATGACCCCAGGATGCTGCTACTGTTGTAAGTACATGTCGGTTGTCAAGTGCCTGAATTATGATCATGTGACAGCAGGGATGCTGCGACGGTCGTAAGTGTGAGGACTGGTCACAAGTCACTTTTTTCAGCACTGTCATAACTTCGAAAGGTCAGTAAAATGAATGGTCGTAAGTCGAGGACTACCTGTAATGTGCATGGACTGCTGCTCCTGAACTTCCTAGCTAACATGACTTTGGTTGAAATATCTGGAAGAGGTGAAATTAGGGAAGGCTGAGACAGTTCCAGTTTCCAGTATCTAAACTTGCCATAATAGTCTGTTAACGGATTAGATTTTGTTATAGTATGCCTGCAATTGAAATAGTTGCACATTGAGAAAGGACAGTGAAAATCTCTTAAGATCATTAGATAGCAGCCAGGAGTTAGAGATGTCTAATCCCCTTTGTTGCCATCTAGTGGTTGTCCATACCTTTGAAGCCCAGTTACTGTAACCCTATTCTTCCAGTTGATCTCCTGCTTCAATTTCCTTCCTTTCCATTCCACAGTTGTATCCATTTCTATCTTTTGTTTGTAAACCTCATGGGGTAGAAGACTGTCAAGCTTGTTCGCTGTCAAATGGTATTTACATAATGACTACTATATAAAACCCTAAAATAATACTGTTACTAATAATACAGTTGATCTTGGACAAATATTCTCTGAAGCCTGAAAGGCTGCTTTCCACGTATTAAAGGTTTTAATTTCATTTGTTTACAAGCACAGGAGGAAGGACTGCTTAACCCAGTTATTTAGCAATCAGGAGAAAATTTAAGTACGATGACAGAATCCAAAGTAGCAAAAAATAGTTCCTGCTTCTTAAAACTACAGGCATCTTTAAGAGGAATGCAAAAGTTAATTATTTAGATCTGCTTATGCTCTTGTCTTGCTCACTGCAGGAACCAGGAGTGCTCTGTCCATGTGTTGCTCTATAAATCTCTCCTGGGAGATGGATCATGCCTAGGCAAATTGTTGCTGTTGAAAGAACTAATGATATTAACATTTTAACAAGATTTGGGCAATTCGTGCTCAGCCACAGTACAGCTTGCTTGGCTGTGGCTTTAGCAGGAACCCAAGCATTGTGGATTTGCAAACCACAGCTTATTATTTAATGCACAGAGTATACGCAGCTAGTTGTAGCTGATTTAATCAACCATGATTAATCAAATCAGGATTCAGTGCATTGTAGAAATTCAGCCAATATTTGACTGGTATTTAATTGGACAACAAAAATGATCTTTTCCGAACAGTCAAAAGCCCTGCCAAGGAATGAGAATAAAAACTACTGAAATCTCCACAATCAAAAGAATGGCTAGATAAGATACCCAATTTTTCCAGCTTCGGTGCCTTCACTGCTCTGTCTAGACTAGTGTTTTCAAACTTGGCAATTTTAAGATGTGTGGGCTTCAACTCCCAGAATTCTCCAGCCAGCGTGCTGGGTGGGGAATTCTGGTAGTTGAAGTCCACCCATCTTAAAAGTTGCTGAGACTGAGAAACACTGGTCTAGAAGAACCAGGATGATCCAAAAGTGTGTAATAAAAGTTATTATGTGCTCAGTAAACTCCAGTGAACTCATTGGAAGCATAGAATTTAGATTAGCAGGTGTGCATTAGTCATCGTTTTTTTAGCAAACAACCCCCACTTGAATCTGCTCATGGCGTGCTGGCGTTATCAAGTGAGTTGGGCTCTCCTTACCTTCTTGTTGGCTGTCTTGTTCAAGTAGTAATCCCGCGAGGGTAAGAATAAGCCAGACTGATCCACCTGCCATACACAAAAAAGAACAGGTTCAGTCCAGAAGTCAGAGAGTCCAGCCCATTCTGCCCTTGTATTCCTCTATAAGCTAGCCAGAAAAAAAACGTCCTGTGGCTATGACTGCCTTTCCATTCAAGTGCATCTATAAAAGGAAGTGGTATTTTGGACTTCAAAATGAATCGATGACTCCAGAACTATTTCAGAGCTCCTGACCTGGTTCTCACTGAGACAGGAAACGTGTTTCCGCGTTGCAGCACTTGCCACTGTTGGTGGAAGCTCATGAGACCTGAATATTCCCCTGTGTTATATTTTGCATACAAATGGAGACTGTCTTCTTTCTTGGATTAAAATCTAAGGCAGCACGGAAGAGTTTTCTGCCTGGGCTGAGTTCACAATCTTAGTGAGAACAAGAGCAGTCTTTTTCTATTTAGCATCCTTAAAATGTGTTGGCCCAACCCGCACCTTCCCTAGCAGGAATGGCCGTGAACTGTAGTCTGACACATCTAGAAGGCTTTGAAAGATTGCCTAAGAACTTTCAGTATTTGAAAGTCAAAAGTTCTACCACAATATTATCCACATACAACTCAGCTTCCAAGCAACCACTCTTGTTTGCTTCTGTACCTTTTTCTCTGCAGGCATCTCTCTTCACTCAACCATGCTGAGAATGCAAAGAGTACAACATTTTAGTTTTGCATTTCAATATCCTGGTGTAGGCTTTCATGGCTGGCATCAATCAAGCAGTGATGAGCGAATGGCTAAGGTCTAGTTTTCTGTTGTCCTGATGTTCCAAGGTCCAATTCGAAGACACACGTACTGGCAACCATGTCAAACTACTGTGTGCAACTACATAGAGAGGCCATTGATTTCCATAAATGTTTATTTATTTATTAATCAAATTTATATAGCCACCCATCTCACAAGAAGTGACTCTGGGCAGTGTACAACAATCAAACAAAAAACAATATATACATAAAAACAAGCATTTAAAAGGTATAAAAAGTCAACATTAAAAAGAGAAGTTAATTAAAATTAAAAATATACAAACCCCAGGCAGAGAGAGAATGAATATATCCACCTCAATAGTGGAGCCGTTGAGACACGTCTCTGGTTCCCTGGGACCCGCAGGCCTGGTGACATAACCAGGTCTTGAGGGACTTCCAGAACATCAGGAGGGGTGGAGTTAACCTAATTTCAGGAGGAGAACGTTCCATAAGGTGGGCACCACAGCAGAGAAGGCCTGCTGCATGGAACTTACCAAATGTAAATCCTTGGCAGATGGTATCCACAGCATGCCCCCTCTGCCAGATCTAATGTGGCAGGCTGATGTAATCGGGGAGAGATGGTCCCTCAGATAACCTAGTCCCATGCCATGAAGGACTTTAAAGGTTAAAACCAGCACCTTGAATTGGACCCGGAAGCAAACTGGCAACCAATGCAGCTCACGGAGCAGAGGTGTGGCATGTGCTATCCTAAAAGCACGCATACTACCTGTGCCACTGCATTCTGTGCCAGCTGAAGCTTTGGGATACTCTTCAAGGGCAGTCCCATGTACAGCATATTACAATAGTCCAATCTGGAGGTGATTAGGGCATGAACGACTGTGAGCAGAGCCTTCCAATCTAGGAATGGGCTCAAATGGCGTACAACCCAAAGCTGTGCAAAGGCCCTCCTAGCCACGACTGCCACCTGCTCTTTGAACAGGAGTTGTGAGTCTAGGAGGGCTCCCAGATTGCACACTGGGTCTGTCTGGGGCAGTACAACTCCATCTAGCACCAAAGATGGCATAGTCCTGGAACCAGAAGGTCCCAAAACCCACAGCCACTCAGTCTTGCCAGGGTTCAGCTGAAGCCTGTTGTTCCCTGTCCAGACCCTCACAGTCTCCAGGCACTGAGATAAGACATTCACAGCATCACTTAATTCGACAGGGGCAGATATATATAATTGGGTATCATCAGCATACTGATGATACCTCACCCCATGGCAATGGATGAGCTCACCCAGCAGCCCCATGTAGATGGTAAAAAGGAGAAGAGAGAGCACCAAACCCTACAGCACCTCACACCATAGGGCCAAGGGCAGGACTTCTCCTCCCCAATCATCACTGACTGGAATCGACCCCGAAGAAAGGAGGCGAACCAGCACAACACTGTGCTGCCTACCCCAGGAGGACACCATGGTCGATGGTATTGAAAGTCACCAAGAAGTCAAGTAGGGCAAGGATGGATGCACAACCCCCATCCCGTCCAAGCCAGAGATCATCCAGAAGTGCGACCAATGCCGTTTCCGTCCCATACCTGGGTCTGAATCCTGACTGAAAAGGATCCAGATAATCTGCTTCATCCAAGGTCTTCTGGAGTTGTTGTGCATCCACTTTCTCAACCACCTTCCCCAAAAAAGGGAGCTTAGATACTGGTCAAAAATTGTCCAGTATAGTGGGACCTAACGATGGCTTCTTGAGAAGGGGGCTAACCAGGTCCTCTTTAAGAGATAAAGGAACAACACCCTCACTCAAAGAAGAATTAACTACCACTAGAACCCACTCACACGACACCCCCAGGCCACTTTCACAAGCCAGGAAGGGCATGGATCTGAGCTCAAAGTCCTAAGGACCCTGTCCACTTCCTCAGGTCCAACAGGTTCAAACTGTTCCCAGATAACTGGGCAAGACTCCACCCCAGGCATCTCCTCTGGACCAGCCAGAAGACCAGTGCCCAACTGCGAGCAAATCCAAGTGATTTTGTCTGACAGATGCTGAGCAAATTCCTCCACACACCCCTCCAAAAGGTTCCCTGGACCTCCTTTACCCAAGAGGGCTCATGCCACCCAAAATAGTGGTGCGGGCAGCAATCTGTGGAAGCAATAAGAGTGGAGGAGTACTGCCACTTTGCTGCCCTTATCACCACAAAGTAGGCCTTAACAGCAGCTCTAACCCGTGTTTGGTTGAGTTCATCCTTGGTTGAGTGCCAGCGATGCTCTAGAGTCTCTTATCTCATTTCATCTCCCTCAGTTCTTCCATAAACCATGGGGAATGGCGGGATCCCTGAGAGGGGAGAGGTTGCATAGGTGCAATTCAATCCAGTGCCTCAGCTGCCCCCTTATTCCAAGCAGCAACCAGGGCTTTGGATGGAGCATGCAGCAGATTAACAGGAACAACCCCCAGCTCCCTCTGAAGCCAATCTGGGTCCGTTAGTCACCGGAGCAGACCGATCTAATGGGTCCAGCCTCCCTGCAGTGGATAGTGGCACTAGAGCACCCCATGGTAATCAGGGCGTGATCTGACCATGACAAGGGAGTCACCAAGAGCCCCCCCAAGTTCAGATCACATATCTACTGCTTCGACAGGAACACCAGATCCGGAGTGTGACTACTGTCCTGTGTCAGGCTCTGGATGAACTGGAATAGGCCCATGACTGTCATGGTGGCCATGAACTCCCAAGCCACCTCAGACCCTATTCCTAGGGAAGGTAGATTGAAGTCCCCCAAGACCGTAAGTCTGGGGAACTCTGCTGCCAACCCAGAAATGGAGTCCAGGAGCTCAGGCAGGGAGGTTGCTGCGCAGCAGGGAGGCCGGTACAACAGCAGCAGTCCCAACTGATCCCTAGAGCCCAACTTAATGAACAGGGTCTCACACCCGGTGATCTGTGGTGCAGTGCCCCTGAAAGCTGTAAAGTATTCCTGGATGACAATCGCCACACCTCCACCCCTGCCCTGGAGTCTCAGCTGATGCCACATTTGAAACCCAGCTGGGCATATTTCAGAAAGGGCAATCGCCCCTTCTGGATCCAGCCAGATCTCAGTAATACATGCCAGGTTGGCCCTCTCATCAATGATTAAATCATGAATGAGGGAGGACTGATTACACACTGACCTGGCATTCAGTAGCAGCAGCCGGAAGCCAGGGCTGCTGAAGGTCTGCTGACAGGGCATCGTGGCTAAGATTAAGGAGCTGGAATGTGGAACTATTATAAAACAATGATTCTGTGGTCCTGAGGGCAGCCCACTCCCTGTCTCCTGCCATATCACCGCATGCCTGACACCACCATGATTCTATGGCCTGCCTCCACCCCTGCAGTCACATGATCAAAATTCGGGCACTTGGCAACCAGCATGTATTTACAATGGTTGCAGTGTCCCAGGGTCACGTGATTGCCATTTGTGGCCTTCCCAGGGGGCTTCCAACAAGCAAATGGGGGAAATCAGATTTCTTAATGGCTGCATGATTTGCTTAACGACCATGGCAAAAAGGTTGTAAAATCGGGCACAACTCACTTAACAACTGCATTGCTTAGCAACAGAAGTTCTGGTCCCAATTGTGATCGTAAGTTGAGGACTACTGTATGACTATTCCATGAACATTCCAACAACTTCAACAGAAAGGAGGACAGTTTGAAAATCAACAAAGCATGGATCCCGCTTTATGCAAGACCAAGATTAAACACCCTTAACTAATCAAAAAGAATCTGCAGCAGGTTCACCAGAAAGAACACCTAGCAGGATCCTGGCTCAAAAACAGGCCAATCAGGAACCATCTCTCTTGGAATTCTCCAAAATAGACCAATTGGAGGTCTACCTAGATGAAGGACCAATCAGAAACCAGCTTTCTTGGACTCCCATGACATGGACCAATCAGAGATCAGTTTGCCAGGTTCAAATACAGGAGCCCAATCAGTCCCTCTTCAGTAGTGTTGGAGCTATTGGGGGTATACTACAAAGCAGCTCACTCTGCCTTTGAAGATGCCATCTATAGCTCCTGGTCAACTGTCAGGACAACAGAAGATTAGATCATGGCCATTCAGCCTGAAAGTTCATCACTGCTTGATTTCCATTTCAGTGTTTCTCTGTATCCTTTGTAAGGTTTGCCCGGTTCGACAGAGAAACTCCCGTGGTTCACAAAAGAGGTTTACTCATGTGTAACATAGCAGTCACAAGCAAAGCCAGGACTG